CAAAAGACCTGGCCACTAATATAATTGCATCAATAATTGAACCTAAAGATATCGAACAGGCACAGACGCAAATGTCAAATGTGTTGATACCAATGATTTTAAAATTAAGTAAATGTTGATTAAAACTTACGAAGTACACTACCCATCATCTCCCCTTATTTCTTTTTATCATGTTATCATGTAACGCATCATATTTGATATTCGGTAATCTTTACCATACATGTTTGTAAATAAAACGATAAGATCGTATCTTCGATCTATATATACATGTATAAATATATATAAATTAAACCAATCCCAATCTTTCACATCATTCCTAAACCACATATTTATGAAACATGAAAATATATTATAAAAACGGGCACAATTTTACTGTCTACTCTAATTGTTAAAATTTTCATGTCCGAAATGAATTCTTGAGATATCAAAGAAGTAAGTACAAAAGTTCTATGTTGGAAAAATAAATGTTGCCGACTCAGTTAAATTGAGGCTGTTCATTAACTGACATTGGTAAAATTTAATGCAATCTACCATCCAGTGGATGAGTATTTGTGTAATGCAAATATTTTTTTTTTAAATTTAACACCGTCTCTCATTTTTAAAGATAAATTCATTTTTGAAGATAGAAGCTATATGTAAATGTCTTCATTATTTTGAATATTTTTAGCAACTTTAATTAAGAAAATACTTTTGATTTCCTTTACATTTCAGTAAACTGTTTTGTGTAAAACTAGGGACGAGCTACACTTTTATGTAATTGAACCCTGCAAGATTGAAAAAGTTATATACATGTTTATCAAATTATATTGTCTATAAGAAAAAGTATAATTCTGTTTGTTTAATCTGCATATGATTGTTTTATCAATTTGCTCGACAGCAAAAGTAACTTGTAGGTCCAAAAGCGAACAAATTGTCATTGGATGTTGTTCGGGTCACTGGCTTGCTATATACTTTGTTCATGAAACATGTTTAAAATGGACGATTAATTCACATTGAAATGTCATTTTAAATTATATTTAATGTCATTTTCAACTTCATTATATATTGAGAAGGTAATGTTTTAATATTTTTTGTAACTTTCAAAATAAAATTATCGTACTTGCGATAGAATACTGTATATATTTTAGTTCAAAGAATTTTTTACTAGTGTTTTCAAATTGCATTATCTTGTACAGTATAGTTAATGACTTTGTAGTGAACATCAATTAAATGATTCCTTTTTGAAATTCGTCTTAGTTTAACAGATAAATTCTCTTTAAACTTGTTTTATGTCCATTACCCTTTTAAATGAATCAAGAGCTAACATAAAAGTTTACACAAAAACTTAATGCAAGAAAAAATAGGAGAAAATTTGTAACAACTTTGAATATATAAAAATACTGTTGAGAAAAAGTAAGAAAAGGTACGATTTTCTAGAAGAATACTTTGACGACTTCTTAATGTTGTAGCATTAGTTAGATGTAGATAATATAAAATCGTAAAAGAACATATATTGTTATCATTATGCAAAGACATTGCAATTTAGAGAAAATCAGAAAAAAATGTTGACCTATTTAAAAAGAACGAAGGTCTTATAACATTTATAAGGTGGTTATTGATCACGAGGCATAACGAGGCATACTTATTAAGTCACTTTAAGAAAACTTGCAGCATAAGGACAACACTGATAAATTGAGACGATTGAAGCTTCTGTAAATACGGTTTAATTATTAAATTGTATCTGATGAATTAAATGGCGTTTCGCGTGAGCGCAATTGATTTTGATCAGTCTTCTGTCAATTATTTTGGAAACCCATGAATTTTGACTTCACTTCTTTAAATGCAGCACGCACTTGCTCATTGACATTTTACAACAATTGTGGAAATGAATAGTTAATTTTTCATTTGGAAAATACACAGAAGTTATTGTTCATAGTGTTATTTTGATATATATTTATATAGATTCTATTTGAAGAACAACAATAAATTATAAATAAGTATTTACCCAATTTGGGTAAATGAACTAGGTCCATCGCTTTTAGAAAAGTATGAAAATATAAGGTATACGTTCAAAAGCAGTAAAATACCCAACTATCAAATGTTTTAAGATTTAAGATTCAAGAGCCCTTATTTAGTAACGTGAACACGTTATGTTTTTTTTTACATACAAGAGGTCCTTGTTTGTCTACTAACGATACGACAGTTAACTACCAACACAACATTCAATTACCTGATATATGTACAAAACTAATGTTCCTTCCGAAATAACAGAGAAATTATTTTGTTTTTATTTGTACCAGTACAATAATTACTGCATTATAATTTGATAAAACGAGTATATTAGTCATTCATTCTTAAAGTTTCTTTGCACATTTCTCTTAATTGCGTACTAGAGACGACGAGACAAGATATTTCTGTAATAAATAACAGGAATCATTGATATGGCTACATTTTCAAAGTGATATAAGATCTATGCACTTCACAAAGATAACATGTGTTTGTTTTCATTGTATTGCTGAACACAAATCACTTTGCTAAGTTTTAGACAGAAAATCCATATTTTTAATTTCCTGTAAAGACTTTATTTGAAGAAGCTTATCTGTATCATCGATCAACATTTTGCATGTGAATGAACAAACTATATTTTATTGTAACCGTCATATTTCTTCTACCATACGTGCTCTTTCCGCGAAATCGAATTCACTTGAAATCTAAATACAGAACTTTATAATTATGTAATTTTATAACAATTAACATTATATACCTAAGTATAACAACATATTGTCTTACAAAATATGCAGAAATTAACTTTAATTTCAAAAGCGACATGTTATTTGAAACATAAGCAGTTAACCGTTTTAAATATCAAAAAGCAACGCCTTCACAAATTTCAGACAAGTTTCGAAACACATTGTTAATTTTATCCTGCTGCATGACATAATGAAAACATAGCTATATATCCTTTTATATCATGTGTAAAACACATTAACATTAAACAGTTTAGAATAAAATGGAAATATTGGCCATTTTTACTACTCGACAATAATAATTTCATCTCATTACATCCCTTAAAGCATGTTTTCGAGAATTATTTCATAAAACAGGAAATAACGGAAGTCATTATTAAAAAAAAAAAAAAAAAACAGACAGGAATTAAATTTCTGTTGGAATTGCAGTTCTAAAAAAAGTTTGTATCTATCAACCAGTCAGTCAGCCTCTTATCATATTGACATGGAAAACGTTGTTGCATTTTATGACAAATGTAATATGGATTTACGATATAACTATGTCATCATTTAATCATCATTGTATTTGGGCAAATGACCTTTGGAAGAACTATTTTTGTATTCATGATCTAACCAAGTATTCTGATAACTCTGAGCACAGTTATTGACTTACATTATATAATATATTTAAATGTAGCCAAACAGGAAATTAAATTACTAATAGTCGTTTTTCTAAAAATGGTTCCACTGAAAAATATGACAAAATGATACACACTTATTGTTATGACAGACAAATTACATGGCGCCTCTCATTAACACTTTTAGGTGGGTTTTACAGTCATACGGCCAATGTTAAGTTTTACTGGTGAATTTATACACTTGCTTTGAATGGTCAGGCTATAAAACTTTGGGAAATCCCTATTTCAAAAAAAAATCCTTTATCAAGAACGAATGTGAACGATTATAAAAGTTTTGAACTCAAATTGATATTAACCGCCTTTTATTTTCGTTGTGACTGTCCTTTTAGATATATTTTAACATAATTTAGATATATTTTCAACATAACCAACAGAGGAAAGGAAATTTGAATAAAATTATTTGGGAAGATTTATCTTTATGATAACTATCTGAGCAAAAACAAACAGCCGAAGAGATAAAGTATTTTGGAAAGCTAGGATACATTTAGAGTAATAATAACATATTTAATTGTTGAGAAATGCAGGCTCGGTTTGATTGGAGACAAAATATGATGTGCAACTTCCCATGTCCCTGCCATCGTTTTCTAGAGATTTCAACCTTCATCAAAGTAGACGTTACTATGAAAGCTAGTCTTTGTGGCTACTGAATTTGCACTCGGCAACAGGGCCAGTCTTTTTTTGTTGCTCTCTTTCGTTTACCTTTGTGAAAATTGACTTTTTTTAATCCGAAAAACAAATTTTACTTGATTAATTTTCCAGACATAGTTTTTTAGGTTTTATAAAATTTGATACAACCATTTTTCTTTTACTTTGATAGTGATGCCCTAAAATAATGGTTTTTTTTCACGGAGTCGTGCCTATACACTTGTTTAACATCTAAAAAGAAATTTATTAAGAAGTAAAGACATTGTATAATGGTGTAATAAATGGAACTAAACAATTGATATTGTTTTGTTGTCTAAAATAATGTTTATTTCATTTATTTAGAATAACGGATGAATGTTAGGAAGCACATTTTCCGCATTTTCCTATGACCAATTAAACAAAGTTTTCTTAATACTACTTAATGTATTTGATGCCTATTCCTGAAAAGTATTCAGTATCATGGGAATACTGAGTTCACATAAGGGTCGGGTTCAAGTCCTGAATTTCTTTTTTTGTTAATTTTTGCACTTTTCTGTTGTTTTTTCCTGGTCAAATTATGGTTTTCATTTTTTCTTTTGCTTTGAAAATTCTTGAATTAAGATGTATTAGAAAATTTATATGTACTTTTTATAAAGTGTTGAATAAGTGAAAATATGGAAGTTTTACGACTCAAAATGTTTATACAATAAGATATAGACAAAAATGTAATGAAGTACATGTAAGATGAAATAAGTTTGAGCTTATATAACAAATTCTATGACATTACTTCAGCTATTCAATTCTTATATAAAACTAAAACTTAAACTGAAGTCTGATTGAACAAAATAGATCTACAATGTATATAATTGTAATAAGTGTTGAATGATAGACTCATTAAACTCAAGATAAGAAAGGAAGGGCGAGAAGAGGAAGTTTATACTGTTTTAACAATAATTGAAATTGCCTCATTGATCAGACAAGATGTGTTGCTGTAAAGCACAGATTCCATCTTATCGATTATTGGCGGCACAGTTTACTTCTATTAGCAACACGCTTAAATCTTGCGCTTCTTATGTTTATAATATAGAAATTATTGAAAAGCCAACATAGGTTATTTCTGTTGACAACTGAGATAAGTCATTTGTAGATTTATGTTTGGAATGGATTCACGTAATTTAATAGTTAAGACGGTATAATGTGATAAATTTGATAAACATACGAGGATATAAATATATATAAGATTTTAATACAGATAACGTTTACAATGTATTTGACAACTTTTTTACTTACATCTTTGTGTTCGGTATACGTATGTACAGCGTATTTAAATGATGATTTTACTATTTTCGAAGGTAAGAGTTGCTGCTATTTTCACTAATAATTTGATAGTAGTTATTTTTACATTTGTTAAGAGTACGTACGTACTGTTGTGACAAGTATTTTCTTCACATGTGAAATCATTTGAAAGTCTTTTTGTCATAATTCCTTAACATCTGTTTTATTCTATTTTCTTTTATTTTTTCTTATAAAACATCAATTCGTTCGGGCATAATTTCTAGAATTTCAGTTAAAAATATTACAACTTAAAGAATTTAACATCATTTACCTATAAAGGGTACTTTAGTGATATAGTGTGATTTGAAAACTGAAAATATCAAATATATTTTAAAATTATTTCTCGAATTTATAAAATAAACTAAAATGAAATAAATGATTTTTGGATCAATTTGAATCTTACATAATGCATTCGAATATTTAGTTTGATAAATAGCCGGTGGTTATGTGATGATAGGAATATTGGGTGGGTGAGGACGTGATGGTAGCTGAAATTAGTTTGAGCTTATAAACCGTCGTTATTATATATCTTCAAGTATATAATTATATATATGTTTATATGTTCGTTATACAATTACATAAGTGATTATTATACATTGTTATACGTAACCGATACTAGTATAAAACCTTTTCTTCCTATATAAGATAGTAGCGGCGCCAGTAATTAAATGCCCATTTTTTGAATTTATATATTCAAGATATACAATATAAAAATACAATAATGTCGAATTTTGTACACAAATGTGTTATCATAATGTCGTTATTTGCAATTTTTAGCTATCGTTCAAACAGTTAAGAAATAGTCCCGTTCCATGTGCCTCACGAAACATCAAAATGCAAGTTTTCCGTAATAAGCAACCAATATATTTTTGTCTTGCAAAAATGACCAGAGATAGATTGAGCTTCAGGGACTGCGTTGTTAGTTTCATTTTGTTATTGTAATCCTTGCATTTTCTTAGAATGTCAGTTTGATTTACATGCATTACTACAGGTTTCAATTCCGATCCGATAAGATTGTGGCTTTATATTTACTACGATACAGACATAATATTATATGTTGTGGGGACTAAATCAAGTTTTTACCCATTAATATTCCGTCTATCCTCTTACTGCCTGGTGGTTTTGCTTGACAGCCAAAATAATCAGGTTGGAAATTTAGCAGGGATATTACCTGCATTACAGGGCCTTTATTGGAGGCTTCATAATCAAGAAGCCAAAGTCTCGGCTATTTTCTAGGGAAGAAACGTTGTTATATGTGACTTGTTCATAATATACATTTGCTGTTGTACAATTTTTAACCCGCAATTGCTCAGTACATGGTATCTGTATATTTATCGGAAAAATAGAGAAAAAAACACACACAAAAAAAAAACAAATGATAAAATAGTACCTCTTAAAAAAATCAACAAAAAACAAAATAAAAAACAAGCTATCCATTAAATGATTTAATCAGTAAATTGTATTGTTCTTACGCAAACTTAGTTTGATTGAATGTTATTGATGCATATGTAGCGTGCGTGTATTTGTTATAATGCTAAACATGGTACGAAACGCACAGTCGGCGATTTGAAAGTCATACACATTTTGTGTTGATTTGTGATACAATCACACCACAAGTAATCTGTATAACTGTGTAATTTCGAAGTATTTATACCAAACATTTCAAGGATCTGAGCCTAAAATCATTGAAATTCATTTGTTTTAATGAGACAACAGTTGCAATTTAAATGGGAAAATAAGCGGGCAACTGTATAAAATTTTACTCGCTAGTTGTTGGTCAAGTAATGCATCAAATGGTGTATAAATTTCGAAAACAATATTTCCAATCCCTTCATGTCAAAATCCTCTGTGGAGTCCATTTAATCTTAAGCAAATATAACTTGTTTTGCTGGAATTAAGATTATTTTTATAAAGATAATAAAATCAAAGGGAACCAAATTTAATCCGTTCTCCTACAAGTATAGACTAACTGAGCTGTATTTTGTATTCAAGACAACATGATAATATCATTTTCTGTGAGAGAAAACAGATACAAGCTCGTAAATTACGTGATTAACGTCAATACTGACCGACGGATATGTCAAACTTGAATGATTTGTACATTTTATTTCCATCTATTAAGGTTGTTCACAATAAAAGTTTTAAGTAAATAATTGGCTGAAATAAGAGTTTTGATCAATTTTAAAGCTGTTGAAAGTACTTTTAGACATTAACACTCCAGGGGATTGACGAATAATAAATTAATATGGAGTCATGTCCCGAAATATTATTACTATTATGTTTAACTAAAATGAACGTTTCTCTCATGACACTTATTTTCCTACATCATGTTTAGCGAAGAGAAGTTTTAATTATGACAATGTAAGTCAGATAAATTAATTTTATTATACAGGATAATATCATATGTTTAATAATTAATAACACGTGTCCAATATTTTCGAAATGCTAATATCGTGTAAGGAATAAAAAACAATGAGTCATGATGTTTGATTTGTTGTTCATGATTTCTTTAAGTTCGGTAAGAAAAGCCAAATAAGCCATATTTAGATTATTTATAAATAGTTTTGCTTAAAATCAATATTGATGTAGATTTAAATAAGCTCGTGATGTGAAATTAACTTAAATGTTAAGGATACATTTTGCTAAAACTTGATATTTCATAAATATTGATAATTTCTACAGTCTCTATATAATTGTAAAATAAACATGTTTGAAGTACACATTGTGTAGAAATGTCATCCTTGGAAGCATTAATCACAACAAAATTATAAGAGAATTGCAGACTCGGTTTGATTATGTATTCTGTACATAATGATAAACCCAGTATAATATTTATTATATGCATAGTGTCATTGAAAACTTTCAAGAAAGGACTGCCTTCACGTGACATGTGGTAGGGAATGCAGATTCACAAACATATTTTGTGCATTATTTTGTCAAAAGTAGACAGTAGGAACTTCCTAGATTTTAGTGAATTTCTGCAATAAGATTTAATTATAATAACAATAAGTATTTTACTCAAATATGAGCATAGTGTATCAAAAGTATCTAATAGAAATAGATTATCATAAACAGAGCATGTGCCAGTTTTGATCTGTAATCCTTTTCTACATATTTAAAAAAGAACCCAACAAAGTTCCTCAGTAACATTTCGTTTTGATAAATTATTACAATAATATATATTTCTTTATTGTAAAATATCAAATCTATAAATGTTATGCGTGTGTGTTCATGAAAGGCCAAACCTTTTAGTAGATAGTGATTTGTCATTTCCCCTTCCTCGGAGGTATGTAGACAAGAACTTCCAACTGTATATCAAATAAAATATTGATTCTGATTGGTCAAATACTGGATACGTCTGTCTGTAAAAGGAGTGAGTGAGTAGATGTGAGAATTGGTTGATGATATACTTCATAGCCTTAAAAATCCGAAAGCTATTTCAAATTGATGAATACTACATTTCCGTGATGCTGAACAGCTTAGACAAATCAAAGCATTAGTGTTAAAAGATTGTAACCCCTTCTTTACGTCATATGAGAAAAATCTGTTTCTTAACAATCCCTCTAAATGAACTCTTATATATCTAATAATTACGCGTTTGAGTGAAATACAATTAATGTTAAAATGTAAAAGAACTTTTAATGCACTAGCAATAAAACTACAATAATTTTATATACATTTTTATTCACTGATCCATCTATGATTGATAAATTCATTATTTTATTTTGATTTTTATTTTCAGAATTATAAGCCACATATTAATTTAATCACGAGTGCTTTGTTAAAAGTTTACAAAAGTACTATTAATCCAGAGTATACTTATCTTTTATACCGATATCCTATTTATTAAAGCGCATGTTAGGTAATTTTCAATATTCAAGACACGGAAACATTTATATAGATTACGTTTTAGTACATTTTATTACCATAGAAACAGTGCTAGCATTCATGAAAATTGATCAGCAATTTAGTTTATACAGTTTATTTAAATTCGATTATAAAGGAAGTGGTTAGTAATAGTCTGTTCCTGTAAAATTGAAGTACATGTACTAATAAACGAATGTAAAATTTCTTACTTAAGGAAACGACAGCTTATCCCTGACGGATATTGAACCCAGTTATCTTTACATTACTAGTCACATACATAAACCACTCGACCTTCCCGCCACTTGATAAGCGATTGAAGAAGACGATTTGTTTATTTTTTCACTGGCTGATCAGTTATCAAAACACTCTTGTACGACTAATCTGGAAAGTGTAGCATTGTCTTATTCTCTAGATGAAAGCTTTTGCATTCCAGGCAGTCATTGTATGCATTGTAACACCGCAAAACGTCCGTACCGCAAAACGTACGTATATGGACGTTTTGCGGCGCATATCGTCCACATTTTTCAGACGTACATTTTGCGGCAAAAAGGCATGGCCCTGCCGCATAACGTCCATATTTTAAAGTTTATATAATTTTCGTTAATTTTCACCAGTTATTATCAGGTGTTATTGTGTGTTAATTTTAGCTCACCTGAGTATGCGCCTGTCTGTCTGTCCGTCCAAATTCAAACACAAACTCAAACAGTTAAGATACCAAAGACAATGATTATGTATAAATGTACGTTTATCCGGGCAAAAATCAAAATATTTGGATTTATTTCCTTTTAAAATCCTTATATATGACTTGGCGGATATAAGCCCACAACCCGACAAAAGCTCTCACACACGCTCAAGTATGACAATGCGACTAAAAGCCACAACCCGACAAAAGCTCTCTTGCTCAAATACTAAACGACTAAAGCCCCACCCCGACAATACCTCTGTCGCTCAAATATGACTTGGCGACTAAAAGCCCGCAATCCAACAAAAGACCTCTCCCTCAAATATGACTAGACGGCTTAAAGCCCGCAACCCAACAATAGCTCCCTCTCTCTCTCTCTCAAATATGACTTGGCGGCTAAAGCCTATATCCCCCTGTAAAAAAGCTCTCTTGCTCAAATATGACTAGGCGGCAAACAGCCCCAACACACCCTGCCCCCATCCCCGATGAAAGCACTCTTGCTCAAAAACGATTAGGCGGCTAAAGACACCCTACATCACAACAATAGCTCTCCCACTCAAATATGACTACGCGACTAAAAGCCCGCAACCCGACAAAATGTCTCTAGCATAAATATGACTATAGGTGGCTAAAAGCCCGACCCCGACAATAGCTCTCTCTCTCTCTCTCGCGCGCGCGCGCGCGCGCGCGGCTAAAAGCACCCCAATCCCCACCCCGCCCCCGCGACAAAAGCTCTCTTGCTCAATTATGACTAGGCGACCTAAAGGCCCCATCTCCATGACAATATAGCTCTCTCGCTCAAATATGACTACGCTGTCAAAAGCCCCCATCCATCCCCCGTAAAAATTAACGGTAGAACCAAACCTCCATAGTCAACAAGAACACAAAAATCATTCCCACTTCTTGATGCAATTATATGAAAAGCTATTGTCAAAAGCAAAGCTTAATTTTAATATTTTTTGTCATTCACTCAGTCCAATCCCCGGTTCGTCCGTCCTTTTCTGTATGTCTATAAGATTACATTTATTTCAATATCATCGTTTTTGTATCTCAGCTGCTGCTGCTGATTGGTTCCATTCCATGAAAAATCGATTCGAAAAACATCCTCGGCTTAAGCATATTAAAAATTTTTCTTTTTTAAAATAAAAAAAGTCAGAATTATATAGGATCACAAAAATATTGCACTTTAATGTTTATTTCGTCATATCTTTACCTGAAACAATATGAAAGTGACAGAACCAATAAAAGTAACGTTTATAATGAATATATTTTAATACAGAAAATATGGACGATATGCGACGCAAAGGCACACTCTCGCCGCAAAACGTACCAAGTACGATATGCACCGCAAAACGTCCACATGTGTACGATATGCGACGCAAAACGTCCACACGCGTACGTTTTGCGGTACGGACGTTTTGCGGTGTTACAATGCATATAAAGTTACACATGAATCTATCAATATGATTTGCTATACAATGTTTATCACATATGGATATTTTCTTCATTCAAACTTACTAATATACCCTTTTGTGCACAGTTAATGTATTTTAACTAAAAATGAATATTACTTGGCTGTCCGTTACAACAAATCCAGCAGGCGTTACAAATGTGGTCTAACAAAATGAATCACGCATTGACAGTCGTAACAGACAGAAATATCAGGAGGTTCTCGGGTAACGGTTTAGCAGAAACTTGGTAGAAACAATTACTCTTTGTAATCTGTAATGACATCAGGTGTCTTAAAAACTGTGTCAATACTTGAATCTCTGCCATGATGATGGTCTGCTAGATTAATTTTGTGTGCATCTTATTTGATATTTAGTGATATAGAAATGGTAACCTGAAAATAATCTGAGTTCTATCCTCATTACGGTTGTCAAGGTTTATGAAAGGGTAATATGCTATAGAAATTTCCTTTCATCAGATACAAAAGAATTATTTTAATACTTTCTACTGTTTTGTACTGAGCTCTATCCACATTCATCAAGATCAAAAAGTACTATTTTGAATTTATATGACATTTGTTTTTGTCAATGAAGGCTTATGACAAAGGTGATATGCTATAGCAATTCTAACTCATCACATACAAAAAAAAGATTATTTTAATACTTTCTACTATTGTTCTTTTGCTGATATCTCTGTGATAAAAGACCAAAGGATTGTTCACATAATCCAATAAAAGCATTAATAATATGAGAACTTCAGTTATACAAATATTCGAGAGAAAAATAATTGTCAAATAACATTATGAATCAATACTCTTAAATTTATATTTGTTTGGGAACAAATGTCATGCATGTTTTATAACAAAAAAAAAATAGATATCTGCAAGACAATAAAGACATGTTAAACAATGTTTGGGAACATATGACAAAGACTTTCAATTCAAATAACAATAAAGTAATTGTGTATTTTAACATTGTTTCTATAACTTCATATTCTTAATTAGTTTCGAAATGATTAAAACATTTCCTATATAAAGGTAGTATCCAATACTAAAATTTAGACACAAAATTTTAATTAACTTGAAGATAATGCAATATTTTAGGCACATACGTTTTCAACAAATAATTACATGTACTTTAATACACATTGCATTAAAGAAAATTTTATAGATTAAACATTCAAAAATAATATTAATAAACAACCACTGTCTTCATAGTGAATGTACACAATAGACGTTTCCTTTGACAGAAGAAAACATATTAAGGCCATGTTGGTACTTTGTTTCTAACACATGTGATATATTTGTTTCTTGTTTGGTTCATGAATAGTGCTTGATATAGCGAATGATCTGTAGCATAAGACAAACGTGTCAGGGATTGCATGTTGATAAGAATTATGTTTTTGTGTTTCCATAGATTATAATAAAATGCTCTTCTATAAATGAAACAACATTGGTCTCAAAATGATAACAGAAATAGAAAAAAATTCCACAAATAGAGATTTAAAAAGATTGAAATATAAAATAATCATTAAGGCCAACCATTCCCTGCATTAAGGTTATCATTCATTGTTATAAATAAACAAATCAATGACATTAAATGTTGCTGATTTTATTTTCAGACGACAATGTTTCCCACTTAGATGATCATTTAGAAGACGATGCCTTAGATATATTTCAACATGTTCAAAAGTAAGAAACTTTAATTATACCCCTATTGAATAAGTGTTGTTATCACAGAAACTTCACATATCTGAGTAGTTATACATATCATGATGCGATTTGTTTTTATCTCTTACAATTTATGAAGAGTATAATATTTAAGACAATCTTAATTTTATCCGATTCACATTCGACAGTTCCATTGTGAAAGGAGGGATTTCAGAGCTATTTGATATATTTTACAAATTGTTTCATTTTTATTTTTTAAAATATTATGAAAAGGTTGTAAACACAAACACTTACATATTTTACTTAGTGGTGAATTTTATCATTTTATTTTAATAAATTTTGTTTAATGCAATGTAAACACAGGCATTTTTGAATTTAGTTATGCAGACTTTGGCTTAGTATAAACGGTTGTAAATATATTTATAACAACCGTTGATTCCATTAGTTATAAAGATTTTAAGAAATTATTAGAAATAAGTCTTTGTAACAAATGTGATAAAATTGCATTATCACTTTATTTTCTATGATTAAGATTTAAAAAAAGTTCAAAATTACAAGTGAGACAATAAACACTAGAAATTTAGAAATCTAAACGTCCGATGAAAATTAATGTTACAAATGATCAGTATATTGAAACATAACATTTCAAAAGTATTTATAACAAACTTGTAGCACTGTACAATCCTTTCCTCGTTGAAAATGTGTAGGTTAGTTCATAAATATTCAGCAACCGTTTATATATTTAATATAAAAGTCACATTGTTCTAATGAAAATCGACATTACAAGCGTGCAATATAATACTTTTTGTTTCTCAACTTTCAGAAAGTCATTCCAGAGTTATAAACGCCTTGTTTGTCGACGTTGGAATCATCACTGTGTACCGTGGACAAATCGACCTGGATTTAAATGTTGTAACGGACTTTCATGTAAATGCAATCTCTGGATGCAGAACTGTCGATGTGTAAGTCGGCTTTGGGGCCGATAGAAAAATCAAGAATTAGACGTAAAAAGATGAAAGAGACACTTGAATGCAAATACTTTAATTTGCAAACAATTAAGAAACAGTATGCGTTCACAACTTCTATATTTTATTTATAGAAAACGACAACTAACAATAGAAAAACGACAAAGAAATAAAATGAATTTCGTATCAAAGTGATTGTTTTTTTGTATTATCTTTTTGCACATTATTTTTGGCTATGATAATTGTATCGAATACCGGATATTTATACAAAGTTTTTGAATTAACCTTGAGAACTACAATAAGTTAAATGTGTTTGATATTGATGGAAAGGAAGGATAATATTGTGAATTTCCCAGGAGTATTATCATTTCAATAACAAATGTCATAATATCAAAAAAAAAAAATAAAATAAAGTTAAGATTGAACATATTATTTAAAGAAAACTTAGAGTTTCTTAAAGAAGTTTTCGTTTGTAACTTTTCGAAAAGTGGCATGCATACTTGAAATAATATGTAGTAGGTTATGACAACAGTTAGAACTGATCTTAATTCCTGTTTGCAATAATAACAATTTTACTGTTTTGTTTTACTATATATACCTTATTTCTAGTTTCGAAATAATCATTTACGAAATGTTTAGAGTACTAAAAAAACAAATTAGTCTCAAAAGTACATTTGTAATGAAGAGCATGTCCTGTCTCGATTGTTCTACATATAACTAATGCAACTAAAACATAATTAATGAATAAATTAGTTACTTTTAATGCTTAAAAAAGAATGCTATGTTTAAAGACACTAAAGCGAAATTCCGAAAAAAGGGAGATGATATACATGTATTGACAAGTACATGATTGTTCAATTTATTTAAATGTGTTACAACTCTGTTGAACTATTTCTCAACGACATTGCTAAGACTTTGTTGTCGTCATCGCCGTATCATATAATCAAGAGTTCACGATTTCGCTGATTAAACAGCCCATATTATTATCACATATGCATTTTGGGACAACATGCTTTCTTTTGTAACAACCTAAAGTTATCTGGTTATGTGTGTGCACTCTTCAATGTAATTGCACTTTTCTTTGCGAACATTTCTATACAAACAAGAAAAAGCATGAGAAACGTCAATGATGTATAAATTAAATGTCACAAATAAGTGCCTCATACAATACAAGCGATTTAATTGAAGTAATGAAAATTTTGAAAAGTTTCAATAGCGAATACAGGGCCGTGGCTAGCGTTTCGCACTTACGCGCATGCGTAACATTGATTCAGGAAAATGAAAGTGAGAAAACTAAAAGGTAAAGGTGAAGGTGGTGTTTCAGGGTTAAGAGGCATGATTACATAATTTATTGTGTTCATTGATTGTAATATACATGTAAATAAACATCTTCGAAATATTAAGGTATTAAGTTCAACTTCAAAACTATAATGACTATATAGAGTGAATTCATTGATTACCGCTATTAATTTTATGTCGTACAGAGAGTAAATTCATAAAGAACTATGCGAAGTACAATACAGTCTTACAGAACCACCTAGATCACGGTAATCCTCGCTCGAAATACACTTCGCGCGACACCTAGACCAGTATATAAATAACACATGGGTTTGTGGGTAAAAAAGTAAAAATATCATCACGAGGTGACAGTATTTTTACGAGGATGATATTTTTACTGTTACACACAAACCCATGAGTTATTTATTTTATTCCCCCGAACAAATACTGTGATGATTTGAATTTGTAAACTTAATCTAACTGTAACAAAAAATAAACCAAGAGTAGCAATAACTAAACTGTCCGTTTTAAGGCCTACTTGAGAAGCTGTTTTTCTTTATTCTTTAAGCAAGTGATGAAATCTACCAGCCATGAACACACACACACAATAAGCTGTGTTTTATTTAGAAAACAAAACACTAACCCATTTATCAGGTTATGATCTGTAAAATCTGATCCTTATGTATTCAGAATATTCTTCGCATGGTTTTTAACAAAGTGCATTTACAAAATAACGATGATATCCTACAGCTGTATGTCCACTAACTCTATCGGTTAGAATTATTAAATAATCCTTTGTTGCATGCTTTAATCGTCTGCATGTTCCAGTTTGACAGATAATTATTCACATTACAATTACTTCCGTTCAAAACGGATGCTTACTTTTTGACTAATCAAGACTCTAGGGTGCAAAGGACTTAATCTTTTGAGAGTCATAGTTACTTGGTGATACCCCTATCGTCGAAAATATGAATGAATCGAGAGAAAAATGGCGGCCATTTTATTTCATTTTATTTAGAAAATAGACCACGTGACCAGATTTTATACTGTTAAAAATACTGTTACCTATATAACTAGTCACTTGGTACACTTGCCTCAACAGTACGAATAACTCCCATAGGCCTATGGGATTAACATTGCGGTAATAAAACGAGTTATTTTCTACATGTGGCGGGATTATTAGCACAGAAATTGTGGAGGTCTGCAACAGCGCTCCAATCTTTGACTTTATCGCATACGAGGCCACGGACGCCGCGACCACGGATCTAATGGACACGGTTCATTATATGTCTGTTTAAACATGTTCATTTGAATATCTCTTCAAGTCATTTGTACATGTATATCTCTTCACGTTTCATCACCTTTATAGACCTTAAGTAAATATGCGTTGGACATGGTCAACGCCATTATCTTCATATCCATACAAAATAACATATCATAAATAAAGTACTAGTAAATGACGTAGCTTGTTTTCCATGCACGGTAACATTCCTAACCACGTTTTCTACATCGAGTGCTACTGCACATGAAATGGCTGAAAGAAATGATCCGTTGGTGTGGGATCGTTTACTAGTATATGAGAAGGCAGTCAGCATGGCATATTCGGTTGGTGTCCAGCCGTCTACGTGGGGGTAAAAGCAGGATCGCCCTGATGCACCCGCTCAAATTGCATCAGAGTACTGGCGAATCAACATGTATCTGCCATTTGTGGATCATCTTATTTCCGAGATAGACCATATACTTCTTCAGAATAATGAGAGATACGTTATTCAGGTTTTCTTGCCAGACAAAGTAGTCAACATGGACCGTCAACAGATAGCTGACATTTATACTGTCGTACAAGAGGATTTTGTGGATGATCAAGAAACTTTTATACTCGGATGTGGACGATGGTAGACAAGGTGCAAATTTTCACTGTTGCAGGCTCTGTCCACAATAGAATTTGTGTTGCATGATATACAGAGCGTTATCCAAATGTAAACAGGCGCCTGTACTTGCTTCTAGCAATGTCAGTCTCTACCGCGAGCGATTGACATTCATTCGCTCAGCAGCCTGAGGATAAAGACTTTATTGCGCTCAATGATGATCACTTGTCACGCCTCTCTGACTTTTGCACACCCACAGAGACAGAAAGAAGCAGGCTGATGTTGTTGTAGATGCTTTTGCACGACGCAAAAATCGCCGTTTCTCTCTTTAATTTGCGTCTGTTTATGCAATGTATAGCATAGCCTTATATAATGTTGATTAAAGACTTTAAAATATTGTTTTACGATCTAGCAATTATATTTATCATTGTCAATATTAATATCAAATCATATTATTGCATAAATTGTTATTAATGATAAAATTACATTCCTACAGACTTAAATTTCCTATTTTATGAAATTCAAATTGACATGAAAATGCATACTTTAAGCATCTCTAAATGGCGAACATCGAGAAGTTTTCGGGGGACCTTCAAGGAGGCTTAAAGCGGGCCTCTTAACCCCCCGCGTAGCCTAGCTACGCCCCTGAAATAAATTTTAGTTCACAATACATAAAAATATACAACATCATTACAATCGCTTGTGTGAATACGAATTTGTTTAAGGAAACAAAAACGTCTTTTGAATCAGGAAAGTGGTTCAAAAGTTAGAGAGCTGACAAAACATGTCTTAAGCTTAAACGTTTGCACTAGATGTACACATTGAATAGCTTGAATAGCGACGGACAGGAATATAAATATGAAAATTATGGTTAAACGCGAAATTGTACGATGATGAAAATGTAAAGGAATTGTGAACCACTGTGACATGCTGATTATAACTTGAGACAAAGAATACCATATTGATAAAAAATTATCTATGATAAAAGCCTTAACAATGAAAATGGAAAGTGATTTAATTACAATCTCACTTTTTGGCTGATCGTAACTAATCGGGCTACGGCGACTTATATGGCTTCTTGTAAACATTTGTGTAAGATGCAAGATTAACATCATATGGAAAGAGACATAGTTAGTTCGGAACATATAATAACAACACGTTATTATTGATGCCTTTATAAGACTTGTTTCTATCAGTTATCGGAGGGAAAAAAAACAAAAACAAAACAGCCACATATACATGTAGTCCCTAACATGTGTTTATTCTTCAGCTTCTTTTTTTCTTTTTTTTTTTCATTGTGTAAAGTGACAGAATAACGAGGCATGTTTGAATTGTATTTAATTGTACTTATTTTGTCCAAGAAAATATCATTAAGCTCACCATAGGCTTTCTTTATTACCGTTTCTTGAACTCGATTTATAGGATTTAATATTATATGGCAGCACACGTTGGCTCCTCTTCATCGCACAGAAATTTGTGAAAATAAACTTGTTTTGACGTTTTAAGCACGCTTTGTTTGATGTTTTCCTTTGAAATGTATATTCAAATGACGTCATGATGATGTAATATTTTACGTGACTGTGAAAAAATATTTTTTAAGGAATACGAAATGATTTTATTACACGGAATACATGATACGTAACATGATAATAAATCATTTGATCTGGTTTAAATACTGTTTTCCAACACATATAGCCACAACCTCACCAGTTCTCCAATTTCTTGATTACTAACCTCAAAATTAATATCATATAAAAGCACGGGGAAATCTTGTGACTTTGTATAGTAATATAAAAGAGAATTTCCTCGGTGAGTTCATTATTTTGATATATTTAAATGACAAATGTTTCCTTAATCCAAACTAGACCTAGCCCATTATATGCATGGTAACTTTCTTCAACGTGAGAACATTGTTTGAATTGTGCGAAAATTTCACATTCAGTTTTAGTAAGTCACACGAGACGTTATGATTTGGTACCAAAATGAATAAAAAATGAGCTTTCTTTACTAAAAACACAAAATCAAATGTGATATTGACATCTTTTCTCGTAGAAGTGCAGCCACACGAAAACAAAAAAGTTTCACGCTCAGTTTGTAATTACTCATATACGAGCGTATACATTAAAAGAAATAAAAGTGTATATGTAAAGAGAAAAAAAAATCTTGTTCCAATTTATGTTCTAATATTTTACTTTTGTTTTCTGAAGAACCAATATTTAATCAGTAGTTTTCAAAATATATATATA